AAGGTGAGTGAATTGCCTGAGCCCGCGGGTTCGAGACCCACCTGGGCAACTTGGCAAGATCTCATGTCTACAATAAATCAAAAAATGAGCCGGCCGTGGTAGCGCGCGCCTGTAGTTCCAGCTATTCGGAAGGCTGAGGCGTAAGGCTCACCGGAGCCCAGCAGGTCAAGGCTGTGGTGGCCGGGAGCGGCCAGTGCACTCCAGTCTGGGTGACAGAGTGAGACTCCAACTCAAAAACAAACAAACAAATTAGCTGGGCATGGTGGTGTGTGCCTGTAGTTCCAGCTACTTGAAAAACTGAGGCAGATGGATTGCCTGAGTCCAGCAGGTCCAGGTTGCAGTGGCCATGAGCGTGCCACTGCACTCCAGCCTGGGTGAGAGTGAGACTCTGACTCAATAAAAAGAAAAAATTATTTGACCATTTAAGTGAGGGTTTGTTTCTGGGCCATCTATTCTAATACACTGGTCTATAAGTCTGTCTTTATGCCAGTACTATACTGTTTAATTACTATAGGTTTGTGGTAAGTTTTCAAATCAGGAAGTAGTAGTCTCCAGCTTTGTTCTTCTTTTACAAGATTGTTTTAACTACTTGGGGTCCTTTGAAATTCTGTGTAAATTTACCAAGTTTTTCTGTTTATGTCAAAAATATTGGGATTTTAAGAAGGATTTCACTAAATCTGTAGATCATGTAGTATTGACATCTTAACAGTATTGTTTTCCAATATATGACTATGGGATGTGTTTCTATTTATTTGTGTCATCTTTAATTTTTTTGGCAATGTTTTGTAATTTTCATTATACCAGTCTTTCATCTCTTTGGTTGTTAATTCCTAAATATTTTATTATTTTTGATGTATTGTAGAGGTAATTGTTTTCTTTTTTTTTTTGGAGTTGGAGTCTCACTCTGTCGCCCAGACTGGAGTGCAGTGGCCGCTCCCGGCCACCGCAGCCTTGACCTGCTGGGCTCTGGTGATCCTTCCGACTCAGCCTTCCAAATAGCCGGAATTACAGGCATGCGCTACCACGCCCGGCTGATTTTTTATTTATTGTAGAGATGAGGTCTCGCTGCCCAGGCGGGTCTCGAACCCACGGGCTCAGGCAATCCACTCACCTCAGCCTCCCAAAGACGCGGGATTACAGGCTGAGCCACCAAGCCCGGTGGTAATTGTTTTCTTAATTTATTTTTCAGATTGTTTACTTGTTAGTGTATAAAAATGAAACTGGTTTTTGTGTGTTGGCTTTGTATCCTGATACTTTGCTGATTTCATTTATTTGTACCAATAGGTTTGTGTGTGTGTGTGTGTGTTGTTTTTCTACATCTAGGATCATATAATCTGCAAAAAAGAGATTACTTTACTTACGCCTTTCCAATTTGAATGCCTTTTATTTTTACTTCTTGCCCAATTGCTCTTGCTAGAATTTCCAACACTATATTGAATAGAAGTAGTGAAAGCAGACATCCTTGCCTTATTCCTGATGTTAGAGCAAAAACTTTTAGTCTTTCACCATTTAGTATGATGTTTGCTCTTGGCTTTTCATATATGGCTTATATTATGTTGTGGTAGGTTCCTTCTGTTCCTAGTTTGTTGAGTATTTTATTACAAAAGGGTGTTGAATTTTGTCAGATGCTTTTTTTGCATCTGAGATGATCATATAGTTTTTTCCTCCTTCATTTGTTAATATAGTATATTATATTAATCTATATTTAAATTTTGAACCACCCTTGCATCCCAGGAATACATCCCATTTGGTCATGGTGTATATTCCTTTAATATGTTGCTGAATTTCATTTGCTAGTATTTTGCTGAGGGTTTTCCCATAAGTGTTCATAAGAGATATTGGTCTGTAGTTTTCTTGTAGTATCTTTGTCTGGCTTTGATATTGGGGATATCCCACTCCTGCTCCCAAAAGTCATGTACAAATTGCTCCAGGAACATGTGCACAGTTGCCTGCTACAGGACTGAGGGAGGGAAGCTACTACACTACTAAGAGTTCAAATTGACCAGCATTAACTGCCATTTATCATCCAAGCCTTTCCCTGAAAGTTGCAAGGCTTCAATAGACTCCAGATTCTAAAACAGGTACATCAAAGAGATTCTGCCAGTGCAATTTTTGTCTAGGTGAGGAGACAGATTTCTGACTCTTGCCATTTCCCCCAAATCCTCTTTCTATAATCCCTTTTTTTGCAGTCATAGAATTTCCAGTTTTTGTCTGGGCATATGCTTGCCAAGAATAAAAACTACATATTCCAACCTCCCTTCCAGTTAGTTATGACCAAATGACCAAATTTTGGCCAGTAGTAGTACACATTTTAAAAGCTCTGTAAAGGGACGCCCTTCTCTTATTCTAGTTTTATGCTGAATGTGTTATGGGTGACTGGACTTTGGGTGGCCATTTTAGAGTACAAAGAAGATACATGTTGATACCAGAGAAAAAAGAGGGAAGGCATCTGGGCTACCATAGGGTACCACACCAGACTTGGACTAACTAGGCTTTTTTTTAAATGAGAGAGAAATAAATTTCTATTTTGTTTAATCATGATTGTTTTAGTGATTTCTACTACAAACAGTTTAACCTAATCCTAATTAAGGTATTCAACTCATTTCCTGGCCCAGGAAACTTTTTTTTTTTTTTTTTAATCAAGAAAAAGCTTTGTTGTGACATCTTTTCATTTATCCACTCACTGAACAAATATCCAAGAGGGTTGTAATCTGGAGTTCAGACACATTAGGCAGAATTCACAAGGGAGTGATAAAATTATTAGACATGTGAAGGCTGCAAATCAGGGAGAAATTTGTTTGTAGAAAACAGCATCAGTGATTGTCTTAGCCAAAAATATCACAGAGTGGCTTATATAAAAAACAATCTATTTTTCACAGTTCTGGAGGCTGGGAAGTCCAAGATCAGGGTGTCAGCAGGGACAGTGTCTTTTGAGGGCCCATTTGTTAGTTCACAGATGGCACCTTCTTGCTGTGTCCTCCCTCACGTGATGGAAAGGGCAAAATGAGCTCCCTTGGGCTCTTTTTTAAGGGCAGCCATCCCATTCATGCAGGCTATTCCCTCATTACTTAATCACCTGCCAAAGACCTACTTCCTGATACTACCACTTTGAGGGTTTGGATGTCAACATATTAATTGGGGGGTGGGGTGGCATTCAGACCATAGTAGTGGTCCTTGGGTGGTCCTAACTAAAAATGCCTCATCTTGTGAGAAATTGTAAAGTGATAACCAGAAGGTGTTACCTTAAGATTAAGATTTGAGATCTCAAGGAATCACTGAATTCTCAAGTGTCAGTATCTGAACCAGCAGGTTTTCTTTTTCCACTTAAAAGCTTCTAATATAACTGAGACTACAGAACCAGAGAAAATTTTTTTCTTGAAGACCATTAGCTTAATTAACACTGTTTATCTCATGAGCTCCTGTTTACTATGCCCATAACTCAATTCTAAAAGTACTATGGTTTATATCATACAGTCCAGGAGGCTTAATAAGAAAACCTTTATAGCACAATTAAAAGCATAAGCACTGCAGACTTATCTAGGTTGGAGTCTACTATTTGCAAACTGTGGCACATTGGGAGTTTTTAAAAATAAAGACAAGGGCTTGCTTCATCGCCCAGGCTGGAGTACAGTGGCATATACTCACTGTAACCTTGAACTCCTAGGCTCAAGTGATCCTGCTGCCTCAGCCTCCCAAGTAGCTAGGACTACAGGCATGCATCACCATGCCTGGCTAATTTCTTTTTTTTTTTTGAGACAAGTTCTGTGTTGCCTGGGCTGATCATTAACTCCTGGGGGTCTCATGCAATCCTCCAACCATGGCCTCCCAAAGCACTGGGATTACAGGCCTGAACCACTACACCATGCTGAGAAGTTATATAGGTCTTCAAGGTCACAGTTCCCTTACTGGGGATAATAATGGATACAAAGATTTTGTCAAAGTACTTAACACAGTGCCTGGAACATACAAGTCACTCAGTAGATGGGAAGGGTTATCATAAGATTCCCAGTGTCCATAATAAGAGTATGCGTAGCTAAGAAGGGCCTCCAGAGGCAACCATTGTTATCTCCTATAGATGCCCAAGTTTTACTAGCTCATGTATAACATGGGGTCATATCAGTAACATTCATCATGTTCTCTGCTGGCTATTACTTTCCCAGTTAATACAGAAACTGCACCCTTGCCAACTGTCCTCCCTATCCACCTACTTCTGCCAATTATTCAGTAGTGACCCATAAACAAGTCCTTACCTTCCAGGTGACGTCCACATCAGTTCTTCCTCTAGCCTCCTTAATGATGTTTGTTCAAATTTCTTGTTGTACATGGATAAATTTATCCTAGCATACCCCAAGGAGTGATATTGCTAGATTGTAGTATCTGAATGTAGCTAAAGGGCTCCTCAGCCTTCTAAGATGCATTGAGATTCCTCCCTATTACATTTTCCTTAAAATGTTATTTTTCATCTTATAAAAAGGGAGTCATACTATATGTAAAATTTTGGGACTTTCTTTTTCACCTAATGTGGTGCTAAGATTCAAGCATATTGTTACATGTCATTGTAGCTCATTTGTTTTGGCTGCTGTTATCACATCATCCACTCTTCTGATGATAGGCACCTGGGTAGTTTCCAGGTTTCTGCTATTGTGAAAGTGCTACCAAGTATATCCTTGTTCATATTTCCTGTTGTACATGGATAAATTTCTCCTAGCATACACCAAGGAGTGATATTGCTAAATGTAGTATGTGAATGTTACATGTTACTTCATGTATTAAAATTTTGAAATAATATTTTCACTTTTTATGTCTTTGTTTTTGCTTCATCTTCCCTTATCACTGAGAATATTTACTAGGATTATTTTAAATTCTTGGTTTGCTCATTCTAATTATGCTTGAGAAACATGTTCATGTATGTATTTAAAGCTTAGAATAGCACACACACAACTATATATAGTGGTCACCTTTGAAGGACTATGATTATGAAGAAACCATTAGTTCAGCTGTTCTGGATAGCACTTCATTTTATTATGTAAAATGTAGAATGCCTTGATTGATAAAAAAATAAGGAAGCCATCAGAAACTGAAATTTCTAAGGAAAGTGATGTCTGCTGAAGGATACCTTTGTTCCAGCTATGATGAGCATCTGTCTTCTTGGCAATCCGTAGCAAAACTCCAGAGATAATATAGCCCCTTATTTCCCCCACTCATTCCTGAGCCTTAGTGCTGGATTCAAATATTAGAGGCTATGGAAATATGAAAGCCAAGCTCACCAACTGGTCCCCTTTTACCTTGGTACCCCAGGAGCTTCAGGAAGGATCAATACTTCTGACAGTATTCCTTCTATTCATTTGGCTTTTTTGGTTTGGGGCTCCAGTGTGGAGCGGGGCACTCTATCACCCTTCCTCCACTCACAGATGTCTGCATAGCTGCATGTGTGGCACTTCCAAGCCTCTTCCACATCAACACCCTGAGGCTCTCGGTGGCCCATCCAGTAAGCCATATAATGCTGCACCTTGCTTCTCACCTCCTTTTCTTCAAAGGCCACAATTTCTGTACCCAGCACAGTAGCAGTCTCTTGGTGAATATACTCAATCTTCAAGATATCAATAACTGGAAGGTCTGAGAGTGTTAGAGACAAGAAGACCAGTTCCATGAGGTCACCCAAAGACTTCACAGAGAAGCCTCCCTGCTGGGCATGCCTCAGCACTGAAGACCCCAGTGGCTTTTCTGGACACAGTTTTGTGTGGTGGATTAGGCTAGCGGGGGTCACTTTCCCCTGTACCATGGCATCAAAGATATATTTGTATAGGCTGACTTGAAAACAGTCTTTCTTTTTCTGAGCTTCCAGAGGAAGCATGGGGCGCCTGCGTGTCTTGAGTTCAGCTAGTTCCAATTCCCCCTTGGCTGTATAGTGCAGCTCATCAATCACTCCAACAAGAAGCACACCCTCCACTTCTGCAAACACTGGAAACTCTCTGATGCACCCTTCTGACTGCAGGGTAGGAATCATTGATAGCATGTTCAGAAACTTAACTGTCCAAGCATCTTCTTTAGTGGTGACTGGGATAGTCACAAGATCATGAAGTTCTAGTTCTCTAGCCAGGTGGATGCTGGTCCCCGTGTCCAAAACAGCAGCCTTTTCATGTGCCAAGAAACCAGGAAGCTCCTTCCCATATGCTGTTTGCAGTTCACACCAGTTCTGAGTAGACAAGTCAGTGACATATAAATATTTAAGATGGAATCTCTCCATGGGTGATGAGACATCCAGTCCTCTTTTCCAGTTTTTTAGTAAGTCTGTGGGCTTGCCATCCTTCCCAGCGGGTTCAGAAGAAGGGCCAGGCATGTTTAGTAAAGCACTTGACTCTTGGGCATCTTCCAGATCCAGAAACTCTAGCAACTCTGAGTCACTCAAGTCCGAGAATCCTGAGGCTTCTGCTGACATTGTCTCCTCTTCTCCAGTGTCTGCCATGGCACAGCTCTAGATCAGGCAAGGAGAGCCCTGCATAACATGTTAAAGAAATTCATTGTCCAGATAAAAAGTTTTTCAACAGCACTTTCAAATTCCAATGAGTAAAAATCGTGACAAATTATGTACATTCCTTAAATAACCCAATTTATGTATGACCGATTAGTAATGCCACAGAGTTGTAGTATAGGTATACTTTACAATACGGCTCCTTGTGTGATCTGTATGTGTCTGCTTGGTAGAATTTAAGTAGAAAAATAGCATTATTTCTGGGTCTGTCACTAACATAATGTGTGTGACTTTAAGCAAACCACCTTTGTTGGTCTTAATTTCTTCAGGTTTAAAAGGAGATTTGAGATCTGTCTCTTCTACTTCAAAATTCTACTGACTTGAGATATTTATTTCATTATTTTAAGTGAATTCAGATCTTTGTAAATGCAGGAGTAATGTTTGCCAATTTACCGTGGGCCATTTATACAATTCCTTTGATACAAAGTCCTTGACTGGGAAAGTAAATCTCAATTACAGACTTTTCTTCGATGACTGTTTTTAAGTGCATGAACATAATATGACAAAATTCAAAGATCATCCATAGATAAATATAAATAAATCTACTCAAACATAAAGTAATGTATAATAATGAGAGAATGCTCACAGTGACACATGGAAATCAGTAGCTTATTATACTTGAGCTATATTAAAGAAATGACAAGGAAAAAAGTTCTTGGTTGGTTTTAATTTACCCTTACTGACTTAATAAACTATCCTCCTAACATTGAAATTGGTGTTTGGCCAGATGTGGACGCTCACACCTGTAATCCCAGCACTTTGAGAGGCCAAAGTAGAAGGGACTGCCTGAATCCAGGAGTTCAAGACCAGCCTAGACAACATAACCAGACTTCGTCTCTACAAAAAAATTTTTTAAATTAGCTGGGCATGGTGATGCATGCCTGTAGTCCTAGCTACTCGGGGGGCTAAGGCTGGAGGATCGCTTGAGCCAAGGAGTTTGAGGCTGTGGTGAGCTGTGACTGTTGTCACCGCACTCCAGCCTGGGTAACAGAGTAAGAGAGCTTGATTTAAAAAAAAAAAAAACGAAAAAAAGGGAAGAAAAAAGAAACTGGTGTTAGCCACCAAAGTGGTGTTTCCTATTAAGTTTATTTTTTCCCTTCACGAGAAATTAGCTTATAATAGAAAACATCTGACTATAATCAACATTAAAAACCCAAAATGTGAGCTGGGCACGGTGGCTCATGCCTGTAATCCCAGCACTTTGGGAGGCCAAGGCAAGAGGACTGCCAGAGTCCAGGGGTTCAAGACTAGCCTGAGACACTTGGTAAGACCCTATCTCTACAATAAATAAAAAAATTAGCCAGGCATGGTGGTGCGTGCCTGTGGTTCCAGCTACTTGGAAAGCTGAGGTGGAAGGATTGCCTGAGCCCAGCAGGTCAAGGCTGCGGTGGCTGTTAGCGTGACACTGCACTTCAGCATGAGCAGCAGAGTGACATTCTGACTCAAAAAAAAAAAAAACCCCAAATGTATTGCTATAAATTATAGAGAATATTGTGTAGTTATTGTGCGCTAGACACTGAGCCAAGTGTTTTACATCACGTATGTCATTATCCTACAATGAGATGGGCATTGTACTCTTTTAACTTTTTGCTATAAAAATTTTCAAACATACAGAAAAGTAGAAAGATAAATGAAGACCCATATACACATCACTTAGTTTAACAACTGTTGACATTTTCCTATATTTGCTTTTTGTATGTGCATTTTTTTCTGAACTATTTTAAAGTAAATTAGATATCACAACAATTTGAATCTAAATGTTTTAGCATGTACTTCCAAATGACATTCTCCTTCATAACTACAATACTATTTTTCAAATGACATTCTCCTTTATAACTACAACACAATTATGACATCTAACAAAATTAATAATTCCCTAACACTCCAGTCCATATTCAGATTTCTCTACCTGTCCTAAAATTATCCTTGATAGCTTTTCTCTAAACCAGGAAACAGACCACATATTATTGTTTGATTATTCTGTCTCTCAGGAATTTTTAATCTTAAGACAGTAGGCAAACTATCTTGTGAAGACACTCATTTTAAGCTTTTCTCCTAACCTCACCTATCTAACCTTGCATAGAGAGGAAAAAAAACAAGGTATGGCCAGTCCACCAGTATTTAATTCTGAGTGCTAGGAAAATAAGGGATTACACAGAATTTAAGCTGATAGAGATAACTATGAACCAAGAGTCTCCTCTTTGCTATTCTAATAAGCAGTGAATAAGACAAATATAACTGCTCCTAAGCCAAAGTTTAAGACCTGATGTCCCAGACATGTCATTAATATTAGTTATGATTTTGCTTAACTAATGTTTAAATAGTCTAAATGTCACTAAGAAAACAGATAACTAAAAGAAAAGTTATTTACAATGAACAAAGTAATTTAATACTAAGACTTTTGTTTATATAGTGCTCCATAAAGTTACTGCAGTAGCCGGGCTCGGTGGCTCAGCCTGTAATCCCGCGCTTTGGGAGGCTGAGGTGAGTGGATTGCCTGTGAGCCCGCGGGTTCGAGACCTGCCTAGGCAACTTGGCGAGACCTCATCTCTACAATAAATCAAAAAATTAGCCGGGCGTGGTAGCACGCGCCTGTAGTTATAGCTACTCGGAAGGCTGAGGCAGAAGGGTCGCCGGAGCCCAGCAGGTCAAGGCTGTGGTGGCCGGGAGCGGCCACTACACTCCAGTCTGAGTGACAGAGTGAGACTCCAACTCAAAAAAAAAAGAAAAAAGTTACTGCAGTATAGATTATTTCAGTAATAAAACATACAAGCTGTACATTTGCACAAGTGTCTTACGCTGTAAATATGCTTTAAATGGTAATAATTTCACAATGAGTAACTTTATTTGAAATATGAAGTCCAGGGCCAGGCATGGTGGCTCAGGCCTATAATCTCCGCACTTTGGGAACCCAGGAGTTCAAAACCAGCCTAGGCAATAGCAAGACCTCATCTTTGCAAAAAAGTTTAAAAATGAGCCAGGCGTGGTGGCGCATCCCTGCAGTCCCAGATACTCAGGAGGCTGAGGCAGAAGCATCACCTAAGCCCAAGTAGTGGAGGTTGCGGTAAGCTGTGATAGTACCACTGTACTCCAGACCCTGACTCAGAAAAACAAAACAAAACCACAAAAAATCCCAAGATTTTTAAAGTGCCTGAAAGTTGGAAAAAACCTTTATCCTCCACCAAGAAACTAAAGCTAAAGGGCAATTAATGTGTGAGCTCTGGGATTTTTGTGAAGGGACATTAAGTCCAAATCAATTAACGTTTAAAATATTTTATTTCATTTATCTGGATCTGGCTGTCCAATATGGTAGCCACCACCCATATGTGGCTACTTAAATTTAAATTAATTAAAATAAAATTTCAAATACATTTTGTCAGTTGCAGTAGCCACATTTTAAGTGTTCACTAGCTACATAGAGCTAGTGGGTACATTATAAGGCACAGATACAGAACAGTTTCCTGTACATAGAAAGTTTTACTGAACAGCACTGATTGAGACTGTTTTAAGTAGAAAGTTCAAGGTATTAACTTTCTACTTGTTTTACACACACCACTGAAATCAGGGTACTTCTAAACAGATAAGTGAAAAGTCTTGTGGAGAAAACACTGAGGGAGGCATTCTCTGGAATTATTCATCTCAAAGAAGAAAACAATACACTAGGGATGGTCAATTTACCCTTAAATGTGGCTGGGATTCTCCTTTGCAGAAAATAAATCCAAGAGAGCATAATACAGTACCTTGTATCCCAAAATGTAGTTTGTATCTCTTTGATACAAGAGATGATTTCACCTGGGGCATGAACCAACATTTTTATTTTTTTTTGAGTTGGAGTCTCACTCCGTCATCCAGGCTGGAGTGCAGTGGCATGCTCATGGCCACCCCAGCATCAACCTGCTGGGCTCCGGTGATCCTTCCGTCTCAGCCTTCCAAGTAGCTGGAACTACAGGTGCGTGCTACCACGCCTGGTTAATTTTTTGATTTATTGTAGAGACAAGGTCTCACCATGTTGCCCAAGCTGATCTTGAACCCACAGGCTCAGGCAATCCTCCTGCCTCAGCCTCCCAAAATGCTGGGATTACAGGCGCCCGGCCTGAAACAACATTTTTAGATACACTTTAGAATAACCATAAACCTACTGGAGGATCCATCAAATGCATAATTTCATAGATATTGTTTCTTAAAAATGTTTTTAAAAACAAAGTAAAAAATATATAAGAATGACAACATAGATAGTACATAGGTATGGCAAAAACTGTTAGGTGGTAAGTGAATGAGATGTTTGGGAAACACCAGCATAGTGTCAAAAGTCTGGAGGTCCTACAGATCTGGATTCTGAACCTGACCATAAGTAGTTTAGTAGCATTTAGTAGTATGCTGCTTGCCTTCTGAGTAATCTTGGACTAGGTTTTAATTTTCCTGATGCTACGTACACTTTACTTACTTAAAATGAGGGAATTTTCTGGTTCGAGTCAGTATTTGGGGGGAAAAAATGAGGGTACTACTAACCCAACTCATATACCTAACCATTGAGTAATAAAACATAGTACACATATTAACACTCAATTAATGTGGATCTTCTTCCCTTTCCCAAGGAAAAGATGAGAGTGTATCCATTCCCTCTAACAAATGAGACTAAACTTTAGAAGAAAGGAAATTCCTTCTCACCTGGGACTTAACTGATCTTCCTCCTCAGGCAAGGCCAGATAGCTGAAATGACAAGGCTGGGGAGAAGAAAGAAACCCTAAAAGACCAAGTCTACATCAAAGAACATAGGTTAGCAACTTGGGTCCCTGCTATAGTAGAACCTGGACTTCTGGTTCTTTCTTACCTGACCATTCCCTCATGTTGTGTTTTCTTCTCTCTCATCTACACTGCACAGACTGTTGCCCACACTAGATCCTAGGTAATGCTCGCCTCTCTCCTGGGGCAAACTCTCCATGATTTTGTTTTCCTCACAGTCTGGATGCAGTTACTTGACCCAATCCCTGCTTCCTGCAAGTGAAAGGGTCAAAAATAACCAAGATCCTCAGTAGTTCCAAGATCGCTTCTCTCTTCCGGCTCTATCCTCTCTGATGGGTTCCTGCTGCCTGTGGAACTGCCACCGCCTTCAACCCCCACATCCTGACTTGTTAAGTCCATCCCGGACGTGTGCACTCCGGAGGCATTTGCCTTCAGCGGGAACCTTTTCACTTTCTCCCCGGGAGATGCATGGGTGCCCTGAGGCGTACCGCGCACTTCCTACAATGTCCTGCGTGAGCTGGGAATGAGAGCAAGGGGTGGTCGAACTCGGTAAGGGGTCCCAGACGACCGCAAGGTCTTCCGACGGCGAAGGTCCAAAACGGGAACCTGGCCTGCGAGAGGAGACGAGATGAGCCGCTTCCTGGGAGCTGCTCCCCGCGGTCTCAGAGCTGCTCCGGGACGCTACCCCAACCAGCCAGAGGTCCCCAGGTAGGCAGAGGGTACGCCTACAGTAGACTGCGGGCCTGCCCACGGCAAAAAGGAGCCCACAGCCCAGTCCTAGAATGCTCCGCAACGGCCCAAGGACCGCCCCTTCCCAGAGGTCTCAGCGGCGCCGCCAGTCCTCGCGATGCTGTGACTCAACCGGAAGTCGCTCTCGTTGCGGGGCGGAAGAAGGTGCTAATTACGCAAGGGCTGGCCTTTGGGCGTGCTCTAAAGCCGGGTAGTACTCCCTGCCCGGAACTGGTGGCCTGTCGTTTCGTTCCTTGCGGAGCTACGACATCCCCTGACCTATGAGCTCCCTCTGTGGAGGGTCTCCCGGCTATGCCGGCAATTTGAGAACAGGAAACCGTGAAGTAGCATGCAGTGTGTAGGGGTCCGTATGATTTTTATGTTGGTAGCAAAATATGCTTAGGTGGAAATTCAGAAGCCACTTATAGAAAAGTAGGCAAAGCTCTGTACCAACTCTCTACATTAAGAAATGTAAGGCGGGCTCGGTGGCTCAACCTGTAATCACGCGCTTTGGGAGGCTGAGGTGAGTGGATTGCCTGAGACCGCGGGTTCGAGACCCGCCCAGACAAATTGGCGAGACCTCATCTCTACAATAAATCGAAAAATTAGCCGGGCGTGGTAGCACGCGCCTGTAGTTCTGGCTACTTGGAAGGCTGAGGCGGAAGGTTTGCCGGAGCCCAGCAGGTTGAGGCTGCAGTGGCCGGGAGCAGCCACTGCACTCCAGTCTGGGTGACAGAGTGAGACAACGACTCAAAAAAAAAAAAAAAAGAGTAACCCGTATCTTCAAGTGGTGAGAAGTCATTGAGAAATTTTAAGCAATAAAGTCGTTTGCTTAGACTTGTGTTTTCGAACGATCACTCTAGAAGCAGTGGGGAGGACAAAGAGACTAATGAAGATTAGATATAGAAAAGCCAGTTGGGAATCTGAGCAGTCAGGAAGTTCTAAGGCCTTCATTGAGGCACTGGCAATGGGAATGAAGAGAAGGTAGTCTGAGGAGAGTCTAAGTAGAAGATACAGGACTTGGTAACTGGTTGGGGTAGGTAATAGATGGGAGGAGGCTTAGCTGGAGGACTGGAGAGCTCGTGATACAACTTCCTGCTTAATAAATACAGATTTTACTGAAAAGATGAGTTGAGTTTTGGACGTGTTGATCTTGAGGTGACTATATGATATTCAAGTGGAGATATTCAGTGGGACACTGAATATAATGTTCTGGGGTTCATGATTTCTAAGATAGAGATAGAAAATGTGTTGGGATGTCCACAGGATCAATCAGACAAAATGTGTAGCTAGAGAAGAGACTATGCCTAATGACACAGCACTGGGAAAGAACATTTCTGTGAAGAACAGAGGGAAAATGCTATATACCTCATATTTGCCTATGTGATAAATAGAATGAATAAACAGACACTGATAACAAGCCAACCCAATAGGTCAGCCCTGAAGCATAACAGAAAGACCTCCTGAGGCAGTGGTAGATGAAAGGACAAACCAAGAGTGGGAAGCCATTTTTCATCTTGTTCTTAAACCCTGACACAATGATGAGAAAGTAGAAGCTATGTTTTGGAGAAATGCATACTTTAGATAAAGATTAACTTTGCCGACTTTGTCTTTTCAGAAACAGACTTCCAGATATCAGAGATATCTCATAGTGACAGCTAAGCTTGCCTAGAGTAAAGGGAATTTACAAGGCCTAAGACATCATGAATTGGGCAAGGATTGTAGAAGTCACAAGACTTGTAATTACAAAAGTTATGACTGCTTGGAGGGGGAGCAGGTGAAGATTCAGTCTTCCAATAGAATGGGCCCTATCCACAGGGAAGTCAAGGATCCCCCAAAGCTACCCACTGGGAATGCATGGGAGATAGGGGGAGGTGCACCCTCCATTAGCTCTAAGGAATGTTGTGCGGAAAGGTGCAGGAGCATTGAAATCCTTGTCATGCCCTTCTCTAGGGGCTATGATAATCACCTGACTCAGTACCTGCGCTTGCCTGCCCCTTCGTGCAGACCACCACCCAATCACCTTAATGATCTGCCCCCATCAAGGGGAATGGTTAAAAGGACTCAATCACAAGCAGCTGGCAGCCATTGCCTTGCTAGACTCTGGTGTGGCCATGTGCTCTTTAAGCTATGGCAGCCGCCGCACTTCCTGGCTTTGGCCCCCTCCCCCACCTTGGGGAGGTGAATTTTCTCTCTTCTTTCTCTTTCTCTAAGTTACCTTTTTTTTCCTTTTTTTTAAAAATAAATTCAAAAGTCTTGTCTTCAAGTTCTGAGATCCTTTCTCTAATTTACTTTTAAATAAATCTTTTCTTCTCTCACCTTGTGTGTTGCAATTCTTTGCATTACTCGGATCTCTGGGTTACCGGCACACACCTGCGGCATGCAGCCTCCAGCGATGTTGTGCCCCTATCCAACCATTCACCCTCACCCTATCCGTACCCTAACAGTAGATCTAAAGAGTAAACCTCTTAGGAATGGAAAAGAGTAGCTATGGTCAGCCAACTAAAAGCAGGTGTTTGGAAAGCTGGGATAACAAACTTGGAGGAAAAAATGCTACTAAATGTTACTCAGGTAAAAGGATGAGTAATTAAAAAGGGAACTCTCCATTTCATCTATAAAGTGATGGGTTTAGATTAGGTGAGTTCCTAGACTTTTTCCAGTTCTAAAACCCCGATCTTGTGAGCTGGCATTGAAGAATGGGTAGGATTTGGAGCTCAATGAACAGTAAGCCCTTCCTCTGGGAGGTGCTCTCCTGCCTTTCCAGCCATCACCTTAATCACATGATTTCCATGGGACTGGAGAATTCTGTCTACAATTGATTTATTGAGGGGTAGGCGCCTAACCTAACTGGGCTAGTAAGAATTTGAGACTGAAAGTGAGAACAAGACAGCTTTTCTCTGGGTGATGGAAACTGAATTTATGTAAAATCTGGAGCTGATGGTTACCATGATTTATAATGAGGTGGTTAAAAAGAAAGAAGGCCTGAATGAAGACACAAAAGCAGAACTGAGAAACAGAAAAAACTACCTGGGTTTTCCAAAGTACTTCAAGTTCTGGTACCAGGCCACTGCTAGCATTTATCACAGCTCTTGAATTCCATGAGATACCCCAACATCCCTCTAATAATAGCCTCCTTTGAGACTATAAGTAGCCCAGTTCATTTGTTATTTGCCACCTAGAGTCCTAACTGTTGAACCCAGAATTCAAATCCGAGAGAGACCACAAAGAGCCAGCTCCGATGCAAACACACGAGGGTCTTTATTCAGGCTCTAGTCTGGGCCCATGTATGAAGCTGGCAGTGGTTTCAGGGACAAGAGCCTCGATCCAGTATGGCAAGCAGTTTTTATGCACCATTACAGAGGGAGGGGAAAGAACTTTAAACTTGGTTTTACATGATTGGGTAATTTCTCCTAATGGGTACAGGAACACTTGGTATTGGTAGGTGCCTTTCGTGGGCTTCAACCTGACTGCCCATGATTGACAGAAACCCACTTAACGGGCAGAGTGGAATGTCAGATAAGTTAGGTTCATACAGTCACTGCGTATAAATTAACTTGAGCAAGCAGGCAGGAGGTTACCAGCGCCTACAAGTCTGCTGATCCAAACTGAGGAATGCTTAGGAGAGCTTGTTTGCTTAACATTTACATAACATAACATGGTCATTATGGGACAACAAAAGCTAAACTTAACAAAGTTTTAAATATGAATGCTGCAAACACATACAGCGAATGTGGGGTAGAAATTCATATAGTACTAGTTCTAGGAATTTATAAAATATTGCAAACGTCTTATGGCAAGGCGGTGTTTCTAAAAGTCTTTTGATTCCCTCAGGTTTACACAGCCACTACGTGTAGATTAACTTTGACATGGGAACCGAAGGTTTAAATCAACATAGAGCCTACTTGGAGAGCAGCTAGCGCCTCAGAGTCTACTGCAAAGGAATGTCTGAAAGGGGCTTATCACTTTAACATTTACATCCCGTTGTAAAAGCAGAAGTTAGCATGGCAATTGGGACTAACAATGCTTAACCCAAGAGTTCTAAATACAAACACTACTTAAGACATTATATAACTACACAATCAGTTGCTACCCGGCACCCAACATATGCCTAATTCTACGGGGTCTGAGGTAGAATTTAAAGTACTAAGATTTCATAAAGTACAATGAACATGAGGTAGGGATATATAAAATATAGTGAACTAAACACTACTTTTACAGCAAGTATGGCTTTTTAAGTTTCTTGGTTTCTTGGGTCTCTCAATAGCATGCTTTTAATCCTAAGTCCATGGTATATTTTATTACTGTCCTCTCACTAACTAATATGCAAATTTGGTTAGTACCCATAAAGAAGGAGAAAAGTAAATGGAAAAGCTATATTCAAAAAGTGAAGATAAAAAAAGAAACCAGGGCTGGGTGCAGTCTCTTTGGGAGGCCGAGGCGAGAGGTTCAAGACCAGCCTGGGAAAATTGGTGAGACGTTGTCTCTACAATAAATCACAGAAACTAGCTAGGCATGATGGTATGCATCGGTAGTTCTAGCTACTTGGAAGGCTGAGCCCACCAGGTCGAGGCTGTGGTGGCCATGAGTGTGTCACTGCACTCCAGCCTGGACGACAAAGAGTGAGACTCCAACTCAAAAAAGAAAAAGAGAAAAAGGTTGCTTGTAAGTGGGAGAATTTGGTGGTGGGAGAATTTGGTGGTACGAAGGAGGCTGTATATAATAATCTGTGCTGTCTGAACTTTATACCCTGTGAAAGCTTTCTCCATTAAAAATATACAATTTGGGCTGGGCTCAATGGCTCTGCCTGTAATCCCAGCACTTTGGAATGCTGAGGCAAGTAGATTGCCAGAGCCCGCAGGTTTGAGACCAGCCTGGGCAACTTGGTGAGACCTCATCTCCACAATAAAATAAAAACTAGCTGGGTGTGGTAGTGCGCATCTGTAGCTCCAGCTACTCGGAAGACTGAGGCGAAAGGATCGCTGGAGCCCAGAAGGTCGACACTGGGGTGGCCATGAGCGTGTGTGCCACTGCACCCCAGCCTGGGTGAAGGAGTGAGACTCCAACTAAAAAAAAATTTTTTATATGTGTGTGTATATATATATATATATATATATAAATAATATATATAAAATTTTAATTTAAAAAATAAGAGTGGTGGTGGTGATATATTAAATAGTAGTCTCCAAATGCTGTTCTGTAAATCAGTAGACTTAGAATAATTAGTTCACCATAAAAATCAAGAAAAAAAATTATGCTGTGTTTTTCATAATGCTGAATTCATTTAATTTGAAGGGCCAGATTTTATTCTTTAGTACTTTGTATGGAGGTGCTAGTAGTCAGTATCAATTTATTTACACAATGGGCAAAATTAAATCTTGGCATAACTACACAATTCATCACATTTATTTAAGTTCTGGAATTTCAAAGCACAGAATCACCGATGTACACTTGGCTTTTGTTCTCATGTCCGATATGTTTTTACACATTATTTTGGAAAGTGTTCCTCCTGTGTATTTCATGGTGTCGACTAAGTGATGAATTATAGCTGAAGGCTTTTCCACACTCATTACATTCGTACGGTTTTTCTCCAGTGTGATGTCTCTGATGTTTTTTAAAGGATGAATCATGCCTATAGGCTTTTCCACAGCGGTCACATTCATATGCTTTCACTCCTGTATGAACAGTTTTATGGTTGCTCAGGTGTATCCTCTGCCTAAAGGCTTTCCCACATTCCTTACATTTGTAGGGTCTCTCCCCAGTGTGGATTCTCTGGTGGTGAGTTAGATACGCTCTGTGACTAAAGGTTTTACAACATGCCGGGCATGCGTAGGGCTTCTCCCCGGTATGAATTCTTATGTGTTCACTGAGGTGTCTGATCTGTCGAAAGGTCTTCCCACATTCACTGCAAGCGAAGGGCTTCTCTCCAGAATGCGTCCTCAAATGTTGAATCAAGCTAATGTTCTGGCTGAATGCCTTCTGACATTTATCACATACATAGGGTTTCTCCCCAGTGTGAGTTCTATGGTGCTGATTAAGTGACGAGCGATGCCTGAAGGCTTTGCCACATCGCTCACATTCAAAAGGTTTCTCACCAGTGTGGATTCTCTGGTGTGTACTAAGGGATGCACTTTGACTAAATGCCCTTCCACATTGCTTACATCGGAAAGGTTTCTCACCAGTATGGATTCTCATGTGTTCAGTGAGGTGAATGGGTTGTTTGAAGACTTTTTCACATATATTACATTCATAGGTTTTTGTTCTTCTGCAACTCGTTGGACGATTAATCAACTCTAATTTAGATTTGCTCCTCTCTCTAGGTGTATCACATTTATGGCGCCTCTGTTCTATCAAAATATTTGAACTCACAATGAGATTTTCCATAATGCTCTTAGTTTCTTGGCCTCTCTTCTTGTGGGTCAAGATGGTTTGTTTCACATCTCTCACACAGGTTTCTTGGTGCCTTTCCAACACATCAGCGTATCTGGAGACTTTTCCCAATGTGGAATAAATGATATCATCCCTCATAAACCTTTCCATCATAATGTCACAATATAACGGTTCCTGTGAAATGGCACTTTTTGCCGTTGACTCTTTGATTTCCCTTTTACTCTTCAAGTCTGAAATAAATAAAAATGCAAATAACTCATACTCATTATGCTTTGAAAAATCAATCATTCTGTGGTTATGAAACAGAAATTTAGACAACAGAAACAAATGAGGACAAGAGATTTTGACTATATTTAAATATGGTTATGCAGCCTGGAAAGATAATGGAAAATGAAATTTAAAAACAGTGAACAAGTGAAAAGAGTCATTTTATATATAGAAAAATTTGAGTCTTTTAGTCCTGCTTTTTATAATAAATAATCCTAAGTAATAAAATTTCAGAGCTACATCTTGAGAATATTTTAACTGACAACTACTTTTGGAAAACATTCTCAGAAAGATAAAAAGAAGGTATCTCTCTCCCTATTCCAGCAGCAGCAGGAGAAACACTAGTACAAAAAATAGGGTTTGAACCAAGAATATACACAACATTATTACACTGTCTTTTATTGAAACCTGTGTATATGGTTCTGCTTTTGTAGTTATTAATATATTCATGGAAGTATTACTTACACAAACGGGACTTCTAGGAAACCCAGGCTACTGTGCTGTTACTACTGTTAAGTTCTAGGGAAATATCCTTTAACCGTGAAAATTCAGACTGACTTTTTTTTTGTGTGTGTTGGAGTCTCACTCTGTCACCATGGGAGTACAGTGGCACGCTCACAACCACTGCAGCCTTGACCTGCTGGGCTCAGGAGATCCTTCTACCTCAGCCTTCCAAGTAGCTGGAACTACAGGCATGTGCCACCACACCCAGCTAATTTTTTGATTTATTATAGAGACAAGGTCTCGCCACGTTGCCCGGGCTGGTCTTGAACCTGTGGGCTCAGGCAATCCTCTTGTCTCAGCCTCCCAAAGTGCTGGGATTACAGGCATGAGCCACTATGCTGGGCTGATGGGCTTTCTTATTTGATAATCTGTTGCACCATTACTAATATTTCAACTGACAGGTATGTTTTCCTGAAAGGTATACTTTCTTATAAGGTTCTTTGGTCAACACAGAAGGATTATTGCACTTCCAAATTCCAAATTCTAAATGAAAAGAGGGAATGATAATGTCTAATAATGTCTGTGTTCTGAAGGCCCCCAAATCTGGTCCTAAACAGCGAAGGAGGGAGAGAAGCTGATAGGGGAAGAGAAAAGAAGCCATCCATGTACCCTTCCTCAGTTCAGTATCCAAGCCTGAGGTGGGGTCAGGATAGGGAGAAAAGAAAACAGGATTTTACTTTGAGTTGAGTTTGAGTTAAGTAGGGAGTTTTTATTATTGTACTAAACAAAACATTAATTTTACTAAAATTGACTTTTCTTGTTATTTAACAGTTTGGATCATTTATGCTCTTTGAGATTTCATCCAGAGGCAGGAAAAGAACATTCATGGTAACTTTTATTATTATTCTAATTATTACAAGTTGAAAAAGAGAATACCTAGAAAAATGTACAAACAATTACTAGAATTAATAACAGAAGGAAATAATTGGTGGCTATCTATAAAATCAATATGCAAAATCAATTGTGTTATTGCACATTACAGACAAGCAGAAAACATACATACATATATATATATATATATTTTGAGTCAGAGTCTCATTCTGTTGCCCAGGTTGGAATGTAGTGGCATGGTCACAGCTACTGCAGCCTCAACCTGCTAGGCTCAGGTGATCCTTCCACCTCAGCCTTCCAAGTAGCTGGGACTATAGGCATGTGCCACTATGCCCAGCTGTTTTTTTTTATTATAGAAACGAGGTCTTGCCATGTTGCCCAGGCTGGTCTCGAATTCCTGGGCTCAGACAATCCTGTCACCTCAGACTCCCAAAGTGTTGGGATTATAGGCGTGAACCACTGCATCCAGCAGGAAAACATAAATAAACATATATCATATATATGTGATTCAGATATGATAAGTAATACATAAGTGATAAAATGGAGGGTAGCAGGGCATGGTGGTGTAAGCCTCTAGTCCCAGATACTTGGACTGAGGCAGGAGGCTCACTTGAGCCCAGGAATTCGTGGCCAGCCTGGGCAATATAGTGAGATCTCATCTCTAGAAACAAAAATTTAAAAAAAAATTTTTTTAAAGAAAATAATGGGGCAGAAAAGGATTTTTTAATTTTAATTTTTTTGTTTTTTAGGGACACTTTGCTCTGTCACCCTAGGTGAAGTATATTGGCTAAATCATAGCACACTGTAGCCTCAAGCTCCTGGGCTCAAGAAATCCTCCAGTCTTAGCCTCCCAAGTAGCTAGTACTATAGTCATATACCACCATTTCTGGCTAATTTTTAAAAATTTTAGTAGAGACAGGATCTTGCTATATTTCCCAGGCTGGTCTCGAACACCTGACCTCAAGCAATCCTCTCACCTTGGCCTCTTAAAGTATTGGTATTACAGGTGTAAGACACTGTGCCCAGTTGAGAAAAGGGTTTCTTACATAAAAAGCATAAACAATAAAGAAAAAAACCTGATAAATTCAGTAACATTAAATTTAGAAATTAAAATCTATCAAAAGTCACTATTTTTTTTTTTGAGTTGGAGTCTCACTCTGTCACCCAGACTGGAGTGCAGTGGCTGCTCCCGGCCACTGCAGCCTCGACCTGCTGGGGCTCCGGCGATCCTTCCGCCTCAGCCTTCTGAGTAGCTGGAACTACAGGCACAAAAGTCACTATTTTTAAAAAGTAGAAGATGGGCCACTGATAGGAAACATTTGCAAAACATAAAGCTATCAAGAATTAGTATCCAGAATATATACATATGCACATTTTTTTTCTATAAATGAGTAATAAAAAAGGCCAGGCATGGTGGTTCACACCTGTAATCCCATTGCTTTGGGAGATCAAAGTAGGAAGATCACTTGAGCCCAGGAGATCAAGACCAGCCTAAACAATGTAGTGAGAACCTGTCTCTACAAAACGACACAACAACAAAAAGAAAAATAAGAAAAAAGATAATAGAAAAACTGGCAAGGTAAATAACAGTAATTTATAGAAAGGAATCTTGAATGAATGGTCAATAAGCACTAGTAATCAGGAAAATTAAAGAAATAAAATACCATATTCACCCACTGAATTTACAAAAATGTTAGAGAATGCCAAGTGTTGACAAAGATGCTGACTTCAGGAAACTAAAAATCTGTTTTATTTATTTTTTGGTCAGAGTCTCACTTTGTCCCTCAGGCTGGAGTCCAATGGCATACTCACAACCACTGCAGCCTCGACCTGTTGGGCTCAGGTGATGCTGGGCTCAGGCGATCCTTCCACCTCAGCCTTGCAAGTAGCTAGAACCCTAGGTGCACACCACCACATGCAGCTAATTTTTTTTTTTTGAGTTGGAGTCTCACTCTTGTTGCCTAGGTTGGAGTGCAGTGGCACGCTCACGGCTACCATAGCCTCGACTAGTTGGGTTCAGGAGATCCTTCTGCCCCAGCCTTCCAAGTAGCTGGAACTACAGACACGCATGACCACACCTGACTAGTTTTTGTGATTTATTGTAGAGATGAGGTCACACCAAGTTGATCAGGCTGATCTTGAACCCTCAGGCTCAGGCAATCCTCTTGCCTTGGCCTTCTAAAGTGCTGGGATTACAGACTGAGCCACTATGTAATTTTTTGATTTACTGTAGAGACGCGGTCTCGCCAAGTTGCCCAGGCTGATCTTGAACCCCTGGGCTCAGGCAATCCTCTTGCCCTCGCCTCCCAAAGTGCTGAGATTACAGGTGTGAGTCATCACGCCTGGCTTAAAAACCTGTTAATGGGAGTAAAAATTGATGTAACTGCTTTAAAGAGGAAATTGGTAATACCTAGCAAAATGAAAGTACATATATTCCATGACCCAACAATTCTGCTTCTATCAACTATCTTAGAGAAACACTTGCATGTGTATATGAGAAGATATGTACATGAAGGTTTGCTGAAGCATCTTTGTAACCCTAAATTTGGATATAATATAAATATCTAACAACAGGAAAAGCAATAAATAAATTGTAGTTTATGAAAATGAATAAAGTAGAATAACATAGATATAGCAACCATGTTGAATGAGAAAAGCAAGTGAAAAAAGCATATAGACCATTCTTTTAAAGAAAAAGAGCAGGCAAAACAATGTTATATATTGTTTAGGGATATGCACATTCCTTTTCAGCCAAAGACCACATAATAAAAGGATGAAGGCATATAGGAATAATAATATTTAAACTCAGAGAAGTGAATATTTCAAAAGGTGAGAGGGAACAGTGGGGCTTCAACTCTTTTATTTCTTAATCTAAGTGGAAGCTACATAAAAACTTGTTATGATGTTCTCTATGCTTTTCTGAATGTTTAAAGTATTTCATAATACAAAGCGAAGTTTAAGGAGATTGCTAAGGACCACTAAATTTGGTGAGAAGGAATCCTGTGGTAATTTCTCTTGCAGGAATTTTCATGAAGTAGCTGTTACAAAAAACTAAAATACATAAGTTAAAAAGAGAATGAGAACTGAAGCTGGGATTGCAAAATGAAAGTTGGCAAAAAAGTGAAAATAGAGCGTAGGAAAATGAAAGATTTGTAGAATGCAACAAGAGTCTTAAAAAAGAGATCTGTTTCTGTAGAAAGGCCACATACAATTGACTGCTTAGAGAAAGCTTTAGATTGGCAGAACTTAGATTACTGGAGAAAGAGGAAAAATCAAGTTTAACCTTAATGAAGACCAAACTTCTCTTCCCAAAAGAGTTAATAGAGGGAAGGGTAAAATAAGGTTTAGTGCGGACCTTGTCCAGTGGTCTGAGCCTTTCCCACAGCTTGGAAAGAATTTAAGTGCTCTGACCTACATAGTGAAAGGCACCATCTGCCTTGGTCTCACCTGAACTGGGATCTGGGCCTTCTTTCTTTGTCATCCATGGCTCTTCTCCCTTCTCCAACTGGGAAATCACACAAGGTTTGGAAAGTTGATATCCTGCTTGTGCAGTAAAAAAAAAAAGTGTGAATGTTCATGCTGATGTCTAAGAAACATCTCCAGAATTTAATTCCAGTCTTTTGGTATTCAGGGTCTCTGGAAAGTGGAAAGGAAGGGTCTTCCTATTCTAGCTCTATGCGTAGTAAAGTTTTCTCCCAAGGAAGGTAAATCAGATGCACTTGACTCAGTTTTCAAAGGAATGAGATGTCTCTAATATAGAACCAAGGCCAAGCTTCAAGGAATCCATACATCAATAACTTAAAATAATGGTTCTCTTGTAATGGGCAGTTTCCTGGATGTGTAGATAGACAGATAGCCCATCCTTACCCACTGACACCAAGTTCCTGTAGTTCTCCAGCATTACCTCCCGGTACAGATTCTGGTGAGCAGGGGCCAGTTGCCCCCACTCCTCCTGGGTGAAGTCAATAGATATGTCCTTGAAGGTCAACCGTTCCTAAAACATCAAACACATTCCTTTTCAGCCAAAGACCACCTCTGTCAAGGTCCAAGGAGTTCTGACAGGAAGTTCAGAGAGATTCTAAGCTAGTTTTATCAGGAGTCTTCTAGGACCTGTTTGGAGACCCTCTGGAGATTCTACTGTCTGGAACTATAGTCCAACCCCTTCCTAGCTCAAATACTAAAAAAATAAAAAAGATAAGCCCTCAGCAGTGGTGGCATGGGGCATTAGCAGTTGGGCTAATTAGAGATAAACTCAATCAAATTAAAGCTACATCACAGTCAGAGCTCAGCTACAGTTATAGAAATATGAATAATCAGCTCCTCACCTTAACTACCAGAGAAAAGAGTTTTGAGTCTCTTGGAAATAGAACAAAACAAGGCCATTGCTTTGCTAAACTCTGGTCAGGTCATGTGGCTCTTAGAGCTATGGCCACCATGTTTCCGAAGCTATGGCCTCCTCCCCTATTTGAGGAGGTGAATCTCCTCTCTCTCTCTCTCTCTCTCTTCTCTCTCTCTCTAATTTACTTTCTAAATAAACTATATTTTCAATAAAAAAATAAAGCCACACACACGCAAAACATTTTATTCTCCACTGTTATTTTATATATAATATCTGATCTGCAACAAAAATTATTAGGCATGTTAAGAGGAAAAAATGACTTATAAGAAAAATCAATTCAAGCAGACTCATAGGTTACCAAGTCACAGGAATTAGCAGACAAGAAATTTAAGGCCAGTGTTGAAATATGTGGTAAAAATTTCACAATAAAATATGAATAGAATGGGTAAAGAAATTGAGAACATTTTGGAGAGAAATGCAAAAAAAAAACTACATTTGACCCTTGAACAATGCAAGAGTTAGGGGCACCAACCCCTCCCTGCACAGTTGAAGATCCATGTATCACTTTTGACTCCCTAAAAACTTAACTACTAATAGTCTACTTACTGTTGAACTTTACCAATAACATAAGTAGCCAATTAACACATATGAAGATGTTACTAAGAAAATCATAAAATAAATTTACAGTACTATACTGTATTTGCAATACTATAAGTTTACATCTTCTGCTTATAAGATGAATCAATCACAGCTGCAGACCTCAATCTATGGTGCATATTCTTATAATGTCATGACTTTTCTCTGCTTCTTGGGAGCACTTCCAGCATCAATAGCGGTACTTTGTGTTATTACTATGATGTTATTCAAGGTTTATGTATTACTCTTAACATGATGAAAAATACACAAGAACCTTGAGAGCTCACTTTTTACTATGATATGCAATTTACTGGAGAGATGAACTGCTTGCATGGAGATGCTTAGCATCACACTATGTTGTAAGATATTCAAAACACTTAGCTCACTGCAACAGCAATAGGAGGTAGCTACAAAACTATTATAGTAGAACAATATGAGTACTACAGTTAATTTTATGCAGTAATGATTTAATATTAAATCTTTACATTTGTTTTCATTTCTCTCAGCTGCAAATGGCACCATGCATAGTCTGTACTTGTGAGCATAAGTTTGGATACATCTTAACTTTTTATAATAGATTTGTATTAGTAAATCTGCTTTATGGCAGTAAAGTTGACATATCACATAAATGGTAAGATAAGATCTGACTTATCAGAAACTATATAAGCGAAAAGATAATGGAACATTTAAAAAGTACTTAAAAAGCAGTCAATCTAGAATTCCATATCTAGCAAAAGATTCATAAATAGGGGGACAATATAAAGATATGTCCATACCAACAAAAGTTGTAAGAATTTGTCACCAGAATACCCACACTACAAAAAATGCTAAGCAAAATTCTTTAAGCTGAAGGTGTATGATGTCAGATAGAAATTTTGAACTAAAAGAAAGAATGAAGGGTGCCTGAATTGGTAAAATGTAAGAAAATATGAGACTCATTTCCCCCCTTTTTGTAGTTTTTTATGACAATTTACTGTTAAAGCAAAAATAAGAATAGGCTAGGTACAGTGGCTCACACCTATAATCCGAGCACTTTGGGAGGCCAAAGCAGGACTGCTTGACCCCAGGAGTTCAAGACCAGCCTGAGCAACACAGTAAGACTGTGTGTGTGTATATATATATATAAATTAGCCAGGTATGGTAGCACATGCCTGTACTCCCACCAACTTAAGTGCTTAAGCCCAAGTAGTTGAGGCAGCAATGAGCTGTGATTGCACCATTGTACTCCAGACTGGACAACAGAGACTCTGACTCCAAAAAAAAAAAGAACAATGTATTGTGGGGTTTCTAACATGTAAAGTAAAGCATATAATGACAACAGCACAAAGAATGGGAAGGAGTAATGGAAATATAATGTAACACTTTCACATTATATGCAAAATATATTGTGATAATATTACAAAAGTATAATATTAATTCAAAGCAACTATGGTACATTAAAAATGTAATAGCTAGAGCAACCACTAAAAACAAATCAAAGAACTGTAGTTTAAAAGTCATTAGAGAACATAGAATGAAATACTAAAAGAATGATTCAATTCAAAAGAAGGCAGGAGAGGAAGAACAGAGAAACAAAGACTAGGTAGGACAAACAGCAAACAAAAAACAAAAACATACACTCAGACCCAACCATATTAACGATTCAATTAACTGTAAATGGACTAAACAAGCAAGAACCAGCTATATTTAAGAGGGTCACAATTTAAATATAATGACGCAGATAGGTTTAAAGTAAAAAGATGGAAAAAGCTATACCATGCAAACAATAATTAAAAGAATGCTGGAGGAGCTGATTATTACATCAGATACAGTGGACTTCAGGAAAGGAACACTACTTGGTAAAAAGAGGACCATGTCATAATGGTAAGAGGGTCAGGGCATCAAGAAGACAACAATCCTAAGTGTTTCCACATCTAATGACAGAACTTCAAAATAAATAAATCAGAACTGACAAAACTAAAGAAAGATATAGACAAAACATCAATAATTTGAGATTTTAACACTCTTCTCTCAGTAACTGATATAACCAATAGACAGAAACTCATCAAGGAAATAGATTTGAACAACACTATCAACCAATTTAACCTAATTAACATTTATACAACACTATACCTAACAACTACAGAATATATATTCTTTTTTAGGCTAGGCAGAGTGTATCATGCCTGTAAACTTAGCACTTTGAGAAGCCAAGGTGGGAGGATCACTTGAGCCCAGAAGTTCAAGGTTGCAGTGAGTCATGATTGTGCCACTGCACTCCAGTCGGGTGACAGAGCAAGACCCAGACTCAGGAAAAAAAAAAAATATATACATTCTTTAAAAAATTAAACTATTTTAAGATATTTATAGATTTACATGCAGTTGTAAGAAATAAGACAGAGATCTCACGTACTAAGGGTCACCTCTTAAAGTTCACAGTGATGTGAAAATGTCAGAACTTCCTTCTCACTTACACATTCTGATTTCGAGTATTTTTTTTTTTTTGAGTTGGAGTCTCACTCCGTCACCCAGACTGGAGTGCAGTGGTACGCTCTCGGCCACCGCAGCCTCGACCTGCTGGGCTCTGGCGATCCTTCCGCCTCAGCCGTCCAAGTAGCTGGAACTATAGGCATGCACTACCACGCCTGGCTAATTTTTTGATTTATTGTAGAGATGAGGTCTTGCCAAGTTGCCCAGGCGGGTCTCGAACCCACGGGCTCAGGCAATCCACTCACCTCAGCCTCCTAAAGTGCGTGATTACAGGCTGAGCCACTGAGCCCGGCTGATTTAGAGTATTTTATTTGAGGTTTCTCTTAGATCCCAAGTGGTATCTGTTGGGTCTTAGAAGCTAGAATTAGATCACTCATTTTGCTTTCTTTATAGAAATTAGCATAGTATTAGATTTAGGTGCTAGACAAGATTTAGATGCTAAATAAAAGTTACATGGAGGGAGATCATAATAAGTAGGGAAACTGCTGCCACCGAAGCCCAATTTTCTGTACAAGAACAACTTACATTGAGCTCTCCACGTGGAATTTGTCTCAACACCCACTACCCATCCTTCCCCCTTAAAAAGGCCAGTTATAGCCTTTAAAACCAAGAAGCAATGCCAAGAAACGAGAGGAGACTCTAACTCACCTGGGATTCTGCTGTCAGGCACCCAGGGGTCACTTTATCCTCTAAATATTTTCCCTGGATCATCCCAGCATCCTGAGAGAGCAGAGCTGGGGAAGGAAAAGAACCATGAGGTTTGTGTCTCCTCAAATAGAAAAACTGCCTACAGACCCACTGAATGTGGCTCCGCCCCAAGTACATTCACACAGAGGGGCTTTTAGAGCAACTCAAGAGCAGTCTGAAGCCGCCTTAGTGAGGGCCGTCTGCTGCACGATGCTTTGGGCATTAATATCACCCAATGGTCAAAAACTATGTATGACCGAAGAAAGTATTTTGGAAAACTAAATGGGTAGCTCTTTAAATTCTCCCTCCGCCACCAAAAAAAAAATGTCCTAATGGCCAATGCTAGTCCAAAGCACAGATCTAGGCCACTCCTTTGTTTAAAAATCCTCAAATGTTCCCCACTGATCAGAAAGAAAAATCCAAACACTTCACCTTGGACCTCAATGCACTCTAGAATATGCCTGAAGTATGTTCTCTCAACAATGGTTAGTTCCATCATTTATGCATGGAACACACCCATCTACCACATTCTTTTTTTTTTCTTAATTTTATTTTAAAGATGGGGGTACAATTCAGGATTAGGTACATAAGTGGCCATTGTACAGGTAAAGTTTGGGCCTACCTTTGGTCTTCACTTTGCCTTTGCCTGCTTTGGGATCAGGTACCCTAACTGATGTTTTATGCCCCACCCCTCCCCTGGCAGTATTATGCCCGTGGTGGGGAGGGCGCACAAAACATCAATTCTCTTTCTTACAGTATTATGATAAATGTTCAGGGTCCACTTATGAGTGAAAAACATGTAGTATTCAGTTCTTTGTTCCTGTGACAGATCACTGAGTTTGACAGACTCTAAATCCATCCAAGTTGCACCTATCACATTCTTAACCCTCAAACTAAAATACTCCCCACCACTCTTCAAGGTACCCACTTTGCATCCTTTCCCCAAATCTTTTTTTTTTTTTTTTTTGAGTTGGAGTCTTACTCTGTTGCCCAGACTTGAGTAGAGTGGCATGCTCATGGCCACTGCAGCCTTGACTTGCTGGACTCAGGCGATCCTTCAACCTCAGCCTTCCAAGTAGCTGGAACTACAGGCATGTACCACCACACTGGGCTAATTTTTTGATTTATTGTAGAGATGAGGTCTCGCCAAGTTGCCCAAATTGGTCTCGAACCTGTGGGCTCAGGCAATCCTCTCACCTTGCCCTCCCAAAGTGCTGGGATTTTAGGCATGAGCCACCGTGCCTGGCCTTCCCCAAATCTTCTATAAGAAACTTATGATATTCTTCAAGGCCAGAAGAAAGCTTTCCCATGTATTCCAAAAGAATTTCTCTTAGGCTACTTTTTATTGTTTTAATTGGAGTGTCTATCTCCATCAATTAATAATCAGCATTAGAGATAATTATTCATTTTTTCATCTGTCAAGATGTCAAAGTCCCTGACATAGCCAGAACACAATAAATACTGGCTGAATTTAAAGTGTTACGGGTATGAATTTAAAAAGACACCACATGAGACACATGAATTCCTGTCCTTTTATTTAGCCCTGACCAGATCACTAAATAAGGTATGATCTTTGGGCATATCTCCCACAGAACCCATAAAGTTCAAGGTAAAATGAGAGTAATCAGGCATATCATTCCTAAGTCTCAGCAGAAGATGAAAAGAAAAAACTGATACTCATGAAGAATAATGGTTTGGAGTTTAAAAGACTGAAACTTGGCCGAACTCAGTGGCTCAGCCTATAATCCCAGCACTTTGGAAGGGCAGGGTGAGAGAATTGCCTGAGCCCACAGGTTCGAGACCAGCCTGGGAAACTTGACGAGACCCTGTCTCTACAATAAATTAAAAAAAAAAAACCTGGAACTTGTGCAGGGAAACCCTTGGAGGACTTAAGGGAGCAGAAACCTCTGGCATCCTGTCCATGAATAACATTCCCACACTCAGGAGCTACTGGTGGGCAACACCTCGTATTCGTGTCTTCCTGTGGCATATTGTATTTGAGGACGGAGATGGGAGCAGCAGAGAGCACATGTCACAAGGAGCCCGTGCCCTGGGAGCCCAATATTTTCCCTCATTGCTACCCCCTTCCCCAAAGCTATAAGAATGAACCCCAAAGACTTTCTTTCCCCTAATTTTCTCCCTGGAAGACCACTTCAGTGAAGTGTATACCTATGTTTTCACACATAAACGAGAACTCCTTCTTCACCCTCCATCAGTCTATGCTCACCTTCTCCCTCAAACATTTTAGTCACATCCTCCCACAGAGACGCCTCCTCCTTGGCCTTCTTTGGATGGTGCAACTTCACCCAGGTGCTGGCCTCGGTGGGCAGGGTGATCAGGAGCTGCTGTGGCATAATGATGCCCGCCTGACTGGGCTTATCCACTTCCAGTGAAACTGCCAGAACCTCTGATGAGAGGCTTCACAGTTGTGTGGTCCTCCTCTGATCACAATTACCTGCCCTCAAGACTTGGGCATGTCCCTGCAGCACCAGGACCTGGGGGCTCCTAGAGGCTGGTGTGACTCTAACAACTCTGAAAAACAGAGTTAAACATTTTCTTTGGGAGGCAGTCAGGTATGTTTGAGTTCACGTCACTATACTCTTCTAGAGGAGCAACAGGGTAGAGAAGACAGATCCAGAAGCTCTTGTCATATACCAGAACTCCATTACCTGCAAAAATATGTTTAAAACTGCAAAAGATTCAAGACAAAGATACAATATCAATGCAGGAATAAGTACAGTCAATGTTCTTGGATGTGGCTCTATCTCCCACTTTCACACATGTACATAAACACTCAAAGATACACAAATACCCAAAGATGTACAAACATGCATGGACCCTGGCTTGACTTCCCACTTTGTAAGCTGCGTGCATCTTCGGCTTGGCTACAGACTTGGGGGTTAAGAGGACAGGCTTTGAAATCAGACAGCCTGGGTAAGAACCCTGACACTTGTACTTAACTCCAAGACACTTCAACTCTCTGAGCTTCAGTTTCTTCATCTACAAAATGGGGATAATAATTGTACTCCATAGAGTTGTAATGTTGATTGAGATAATGCTAGGCACATAGCAAACTTTTTTTTTTCCTCTGAGTTGAGGTCTCATTCTCCAGAGTAAGACCAAGTTGCCCAGGTGGGAGTGCATATGGCATGAACACGGCTCACCGCAGCTGGATCTTCTGGGCTCAGGTGATCCTTCCACCTCAGCATCCCAAGTAGCTAGGACCATAGGCACCCACCACCACGGCTGGCTAATTTTTTATTGATTTTTTGTAGAGACAAGGTTTCACTATGTCATCTAGGCTGGTCTCAAACTCCTGAGCTCTAGCAATCCAGGCATGAGCCACCGTATCTGACCAAACAGCAAACTCTTAATAAGAATTGTTATAAGCCCTTTATCAATTGCTGACTCATAGCATTATCTTTTAAAGTCATGTTTAGAAACAATTAGAGAGGTTTCAAAAATGTTAAAATTGAGGGAGAGGGTATGTCTTCAAATGGAGTAAATACAGTACTTCAAGTATAATGAGGATCATTGCAAAATTGTAACAGGTAAATGTGGAAACAACTCAGATCCATCATCTCAACTAGCCCATGGCATTTGAGCAGGTGCCTCCTCCGTGGTCGCAGCAGTGTATATGGTACCCCTACAACAGTCCTATCTTGAAAAGGCAGCCCGTCTAACTATTTGAAGTTTGTGAGGAAGGAATGAGTGTGTGACTTATCAACTTTGTGTGTGTGTGTGTGTGTGTGTGTGTGTGTGTGTGATTGATGCAAAGAGGGGCTTCCTGTGTCCTAGAGACCGAAGCTTGTGGAAAATATTCTACCCCTCTTTAAGACCAGCCTGGGCAATTTGGTGAGACCTCATATCTACAATAAATCAAGAAAAATTAGCCGGGCGTGGTGGCTTATATCTGTAGCTTCAGCTACTTGGAAGGCTGAGGCAGAAGGATCGCCTGAGCCCAGCAGGTTGTGAATGCAGCAGCCGTAAGCACGCCACTGCACCCCAGCCTGGGCAACAGAGTGAGACTCCTACTCAGAAAAAAAAAAAAGGAGAAAAGTAATCTACTTCTGAAAATATAAAACGTCGTGTTACCAAAGTGCAGGAATGTTTGAATCTTACTTATGAAACAATTAATGTCTAAGAAGCGTCATTTCGAAGAGGCCCCTTCCTCACAGTGCTCCCAGACAAGCCACCCAGACTCTCACAAGCCACCAAGACTGCACACACCGGCGGAGAAGCCGCCTCTCACCGCACAGACCTTGGACGCAGGTAGGACCGGCGATGCGAGCGCTTGCTCTCGAGGTGTTCAGCTGCCGAGTGTCCCTCTGGAGATGGATGCGGGGTAACAGATTTTCTTTCCCAGCCTTTCGCGGACAGGTCACACCTCCACTCCACGCAGTCATTCCCCAAAGAGCGCTTCTTCCTAGGGAAGCCCAGAGCACCCTCGGCCTCCCGACCGGACGAGGGTCTCTTTCCAAATTCCCATCAAGGGCCCGCCGGGGGCGGGTGGGCTTTCCCAGCCGCACCCCCTGGGGCGGAGCCTCGGGGCTGGAACGGG